TGATCATGTAGATATCCTAGCCATGCTATTCGTGTATTACTAATGCTGCATTCTATGTGACTAAAGGAGCTGCCAAGCTGCTAGTGGAAAGGAATATTGTTGATGTAATAAGACTGTTATTGTTATTGCTGCTGCTGTTGTTGTTAGTTTAATATCTCTATTTATGTTGTCCTCAATCATCATCATCATTGTTGGTAGTTAAAAGAAGCATCTAATGTTGGTATTGAGGATATTGAGAAGATACTTGTTGATGTATCTGTATCATCACGTAATCATCATCATCATCATCATCATCATCATTATCATTATGCTTCTTCCTCCTCCTCCTCCTGTTGTTTATTATCAGGTAAACGCCTAGTCGATCTTGATACAGTTGATGTGAATAAGGATCCTATGGGAAAGGTTCTTATGGATCGTATGGGATGGTCTAAAGAGGATCTCCATGATACTTGTAAGAATGATAATGATGATTATATCTCCCATTATTGTTGTCCATATTATTATTAGGTAGGATGGTTACAGAGCGTCTAATATCAAAGATTGGTAAGGGTACTGAGACTCTTACTAATACTACCTTCATGCATATAGAACCACATAATGATGATATTATGTTGGGGTAAGCATAAGCATTGTTGTTATCAACAACAAGAAGAACAACATAGTGGTTATATTGGATTATTAGGTATTTACCAAGTGTTATTCGTCAGACTAGACCAACATCTAACGATCACTACTTTGTTTGTGCTACTTCTGGCTTTAACAGCGTATCTAATGCACATATTCGTAATAATAATAATAAAAACGTTATCTTAATATTATTATTATGGTTAGGTAAAATGATTAGACGTGCTCGGAAGTTCATTGCAAAGGATAGCTTCAGAAAGCTCGTGGAGGAAGGGTAATAATAATAATAATAATAATAATAGTAGTAGTAGTAGTAGTAGTAGTAGTAGTGTACATAATATGGTATTATTAGATACTTCCTACCTAAACCTGATGGAACATCATCAATTGGTTTTATGAATGTTGATACCCCCTCAGAAGAGCATTATCAACTTGCTAGATCTAGAGATGTATGGCAGTATCTTGATGGTGTCTCTAGTAGTCATAATAAAGATGGTAATGACGACGAGGAGAAGTCTGAAGGCAGTGCTAGAAGGTAATAATA